TAGGTTAACAAACTTTTATCTTACAAAATAAAAGCAAGTTATGCTGAAAATTGCTTCATGGAAAACACTATTTAGTACTCATCTACACCTAGAGTTAAGATAAATTTCACCCAGTTATTCCAAATAAAATGGAAGGAAATAAACCTATATATACATAGAACAAAAATTAAATGCATGTAATAAAATTAAAACAGAAGTTTTCAAAATCATGTTTATCAGTTATTTTGCTATCTGGAGTCAGATACCTTATATAATCTATGTATATTTAAAGCATGTTAGTAAATATGAGTGCTAATGTCACACTGACATACAATTCAGTTCTTCATTGTGGTTTATTCTAGTGCTATCACCATCATAGTCAACTTTCTGCTATTGAAAAATTGTTTAGATTTTAAACAAACTAAACAGAAGTAGAAGTCCAGAATATCCTCTAATTATGAGTTAGCCACCTTCTGTAACATGAGCTTTCTATGAGATTTACAATTCTGATGACTAAATAATGCTTATTCAAATTATTATTAAATATGGAACAGAGAATTGGATTGATGTTAGATGCATAGGAATTGAAAAGTAAAAACACTTAAAAAAAACAAAAATTGTCCAAATAAAATATTATACCTGAAATTGAGCGTCCAGCTTGATATGATTCCTCATGCCATTATCCCAACACTCAAGAGGCTAAAGAGTCAAATCCTCAAAAGTTTGAAGTTAGTCTGGGGTACATAGTGAGTTTCATTACACTGTTGGCTACAGAACGGAGCCCTGTCTCTATCAACCTATGCATGTATGTATTTATCTGTCTGTTTGTCTGTATGTCTGTGTGAACTGAAATAAAATGATTTAGGACACCTGCTTAAAAAAAGTCAAATAATTTGAACTGTTTTGGAACTAAATATGATGAACATTGTAGCAAAATAAGAAATATATACACACATATGTAAAACCAGAATTACAGAAGGTAATATATTTGTTATAAAGCATAGGCGTATTAGTGAAGAAAAGTTTAATGAAAATTACAGAAATACTTCTAAAAATCATTCTATTTCATGTAGTATTTTTATCTACCTTGCAACTTAAATGCATACCTACAGTGGAATATATTAAGGTCAACAGATTTAATTGCAAATTTCAATAAGCTTAAAAGCAAGTGCAGCTTTTTGTTTTGTTTTGGTTTTAATTTAAAAATGGATGGAAAATTCCCATGGTAAAAGTTTGTTTTCTAAATTTGTCTAAAGGGTAATTTTCTTTCGTCCTTCCCATTAAAGATTTAGGCATGAATAAACTAAACCCACTTGGAGAAATACTTTAATAACATAAAAACTAACTTTAAGCTACTTGGTTTTCATTTTTAATGTTTTTTGCAATATAAGGTTTTTAAGGACCTACTTATTAAAATATGAATGTGGACTAAATCTTAAAAATGTACATGCAAAGTTTTTCTCTGCACCCATGCAACAGCCTGTATTTGGAACTGTAAGTGAAAATATTAACTCTGTATGACTTAGTCTTTCTAGTACTTTTTCCAGATGCTCAAGGGAAGGTTTAGCCATCACAGTGAGACAGAGTTCTATGTTCATGGTCCTAGCTGACACTTACAAACTTGATCTTGGGCAAATTTTTAACTTTTGTAAGGCTCAAAGTCAACTGAAAATGACAGGAGAACAGTAATATGAGAATTACTGTGAGGATTAAAAGGAGATGCTATATGAAGAAGTTTGGCAGATCCTCATCATGCTAAGGTTCTGTAACATGGAGTTATGCACACTTACAAGTGGTTTTTATAAACAACATTGATGGAGTAGAATGAACTATATTAAATTTCCAACAATAAGAGATTCTAGATTCATTTTACATTCTGAATGGTTACTTGATAGCAGGAATTACTTTTCATCCTTATAACAGTGATATAGGTCCTGCTTGAATTAATCAGACAATTTGGGTAATTCTTTTTCATCATTACAACAATGACATAGGTCTTGAGGATGCAAATATTAAGCAGTGGGGGAAAATGAAGTGCAGGAAAATGTATTCTCATGTATCATGCATGTAATGTAAATGCAATGGTTAGGAACTCTAAACCCTTCACTGATACTAATACTAAGTTTGACATTTACTGGCCATTGAAAACTGTCTTGTAAAAAAATGTGAAAATGTCTCAATGTCAATTGCTTTGGAATGAATTCTTCTGTATGAAAAAAAAATTAAAAAAATAATGATTAAAAAAC